AATCTGAAGTCAGAGAAGTGATAAATGCTCCGAAGTGATAAATGTTTTGAGCACCAAGGTGATAGACCACACATGGAAAACGCCATACCATTAAACTTTGTTTCATGCCCACAGTTACTAAAAATATTGGGCAGGATTATTGTTTCAACTTGGGGTGATAAACACCATGACAAAAAGAAAAAAGCTGAGGAGGAAGGGGTTTATTTCAGCTTACTTGTTACAGTCTGTTATGGAGGGAAGACAGGCCAGGAACTCAAGGCAGGAACCGGAGGCAGAGCTGAAGCAGAGGCCATGGAGGAACTCAGTGACTGGCTTGCTTTCAGGCTGTCATTCAACTACTTTCCTTATACAGCCTGGGGGTATAGTTCCTGAGGGTGGCACCGCCCACAGTGGGCCGTGCCTTTCTCTATCAATTAACAAGAAGATGCCCTCAGACCAACATGAAGAAGACAGTTGCTCAACTGAGGGTCCCTGTCGGGTGTCTCTTGAGTCTGTGTCAATTAACCAGCGCAATTACCTCCAGCCTGTTCGTATAAGATGTATATGAAACACAAGTAAATTTCATGTTTAGACGGGGGTCCCTCAAGGTATCATTTTGTATATGCAGGTGTTCTGAAATCCATGGAAGCCGTCTTTGGTGCCAAGCTCCTGGTCCCTGTACTGGATCGTGTCACAGGATCATTGAGACCAGTCGGTGCTGCGTGTGGGGCATGCAGGCACTGATGGGGGAGACAGACGCCTCGTGAGGGAAGGAGAGGTCCCTGTGGGAGGAAGCGAGGTCTGCATCGCTGACAAGTCCACGATGCCTCGTTCTCCTCTGGCCTTCATTTCACGCCTCTCTGTTGTCTTGGCAATGTTCACTCACCTGCGTGGCTGCCTGGGAGCGTCTCATGGGCACTCGCTGCCGCAGTATTCATTCATTCATAGCTCTCTTCTTGCTCCTTGTTCTCTGGGACCTGCCAGAGGCTGGTCACTCTTCTGTTTGCCGCTCTCTCGTGCTGTTTCTGCCAGCGAGCCTGTCCTCTCCCTCTCCTGAGCTGGTAATGTCTCCTTTAATGCCGTCCACATAGTAGGTGCTTTGTGCTGCTTTGTCGATTTGTTGGGCAGGCACCAGGCTGGGCACCACAGGGTCCTGGCACAGTGCTGCGGGCTGACTCAAGCTGAGCTAAGTTTCTATTCAGGGCCTGCAGCTTCCTGGTAGGCCTGGCATGTCAAGGGCCTCAGCTTTCCTTACCGTCCTGGAGCCACCACGCTTCTGGGTAAAACTGTCTGGCCAAGAGACACAGGCTTTCATTTTTCAGAAAGGAAACCCTTCCCAACTGATGGAAAATAAGCTTTTGCTTAGTGACTAATAACATAAACACAGACAAGATTTCTGGGCTTATAAATAACCAGTTGTAAAAGTGCCCAAGGGGAACAGCCCATTTTGTGAGAAGAATGGTCACGAGTATTCCTGCCACTCTGCATTAGCGACCTTAATCGTGGGTAAGGCGTCTCAGGTCTAGGGCAGAAGCTGGTCGTTTCTCAGTGCTGATCCCCAAGACCTTACCCTTAGCCATTGTGAGTACTGGAAAAGTAAAAGCTGTCTTGGAAGAGCTGCCCAAGAGACAGGTGGGAAAAATTCTTCAAGTGGGATGGAGGCACGGTGCTGACTCAGCACTGATTCTGTCCCCGAATTCTCTCAGTGTCGTTGTTTGAGGAGAGTCAGGCCAGGGGGGTTGGTGTGTATGGAGGGAAACAGAGGCTGAGCTTGGAGCCTGCAGGCCGATTGCGCAGTCCTGTCCCAGCCCGGCTGGAGCTCTCTGTAATCATGGTGACTACTCTGAGCCTCGCTCTACCAGGTGTTCCCCTCTATAAAACCAGGTTAAAGGACTACACCCATGTGACATCATTTACACAAAATGCCTCTTAGCACAGGACTGGCACATAGTAGGCCTACAGTACTTGGTGCTGTTGTTAAGAAAGGATTCAGGAGCCTTTAGCAGCCTCCTTGATGGAGCCATTATGTTCTCCAAATGTAGAATTCTCTCTGGCATTTAGCTCATCTAATGTGATATTCGAGCCTTGACTGTAAACTTGGCCTGCCTTCTATTGAGGGTGTGTGGATGGTGTCCCATAGCCAGGCCTAGCCACATGGGGAATTCTTTGGCCTTGCCGACTTCTCATAACAACCAGGGGGTGGGTGGTCGTATTCAGATACCATCACACGCATCCAGTGTTTCCTGTACTGGGTCCAGAGCCCTTCCTCTGGATGTGAGTAGGAACATGGAGGTGCCCTGGTTCACCTGCAGAACCTAAGAACCTGCAGTCCAAGGACAGCCAAGCCCAGGTCCGAGCATCTTCCAGATGTTTCATCTGCTTTGTCAAAAGTCCTTTTCCCAGAACACCTTGCGGGATCTGTGTTCCCAGAAGCAGAACCATGCTGGTGTTTGGCTTCTTGGCCATTTGGCAGTGGGGTGACAGAGAAGGGTTAGAAGCCAGTGAGGATGGAGCTGTGGTGGGGTGACCCAGGTAGAGGGACCCAGAGCTTGTGTTTTAGAAGTCACACCATCAGGCCATGCCAGCAGGAGTTACTTAGTGAGAAAGCTGTCACTCTGAGTTGTGTTGAAGTGTGAGGTTTAAAGGGAGGAGCCAGCCAGCCTCTGGGATAGTCCTGTCCTCTGCCACCTGTTCTTCAGATGACACTCTCAGTCTCCTTTAGGGATGCTCCAGAGTCTGAGAGTGAGGTCCTTGTTGACATGTCAAAGCAATTAACTTTTTTCTTCCTTTTCCCTGCCCTAAAAGAAAGGGCAAGTTAGAAAGCCTGCCCTTCCTCCGTGTACGGCATGCCCCCATCGGCTCAAACCATATACTCCGAGGCCACCTTCCCACTTGGCAGAGTTTAGAGTTAATGAAAAGTGCACTCCAGGCTGAAATCCTGGTAGGAGCCAAAGTGGCTGGGTACTGAGAGGCCAGCAGACACCCGGGCAGCCAGTGTTATCTGACTGTACCCTTCCCTCTCCAGCTTCCTACCTCCTTCCCCTTCATTTTATCAGAGAGCGTTGGCTGGACTGAAGGAGCCAGAAAGGAACTAGGGGTGGGGTGGGGAGGGTGACCTTCTAGCAGCCAGTGACAAGGTTTGGGGGGACAGGAGACTGAGGCCTCAGGCAGGTTCCAGTTCAACGCAGTTGCTCATTGTGTGTGTGTGTGTGTGTGTGTGTGTGTGTGTGTGTGTGTGTGTCTTGGTGCCAGGTGCTGGGGTCCAATAATATTAAAATAATCAATAATAGCCAACGTTATTGAGTGCTGTGCATGCAGGCTTTGTTCTAAGCATCTGCCACCCTGTTGTCAATACATTTTCCCAACAGTTCTAAGAAATGCTTACTAATTTCACTCATCTCACATTGGATGTAACAGAAGCATAGAGAAGGTAAGCAATTTCCTAGAGTCCCATAGCCAGGGGGACAAAATCCTAGATTTTAGCTCTCTCAGCCCAAGCTCAGAGTCCAGGACGAGGAAAATGAATATGTAACCGGGAAGTAAGTTGCCATGAGCAAGTATGGACCAGAATGTAAGCGGCAGAAGGCATGTGATAGGCAGATGAATATGAGCAAAGCCTCGATGGTTGATGAATCCTTAGTCAGGATAGGGAGGGGGGAGAGCAGGGGGAGAGCAGGCGGGGTGGGGGGGAGCAGCAGCTTGTGTGTAAATGTAAGAATTGCAGGGACAGTTCTGGGATGTTGGATGTTGAGGTGGGCAGACACCCAAGGCCAACACAGGTTCAGAAGAGAAAAACCCAAGGAAGAGAGAAGACTCGAGGTCCTGGCACCCCTTCAGCCGGCCACTCCACAGCCACTGGAGTCTTCCGGGCTTTTGTGTACGATGTCTTCAGAGTGAAGATGTGACTACGCACATCTTGAAGTGCGTCCTTCCTGGAAGACCCTCCCTCTGCCCACCGCTACCTTGTCAGCTTCAACTGTACTTGACTCCATTCCAGGTTGGCTCTGTGACTCCCTGGCCACGCCAGGAACCAGAGTCGGTTCTGGTCAGTTCTTTAGGAAGCCTCCTCCTTGCGTGGATCCACACTTGAGCTTGGAAGTACTACCTGCAGGTTCTACAAAGCTAGCAACCTCCATAGGCCTCACCAGCTTCTTTCCTTTTCAAATGGTAAAATTTCAAATATTCCCTGGTGGTGTGTTGTAGTGTTTAAATGACTAAGGCAGGTCTAAGCAGGGCCCATGGGAATGTGTAGGATGTAGTGAAATGCATCAAGGTTGGTATGAGAAAATGGGAAGAGATAACAGGATGGGGGCCAGAGAGGAGTTTTTAGAGATGTGGTACCCAGTGGTCTGCATCAGATGCTTGATGAGTGGTCGTGTGTACTTATCTGTGAAGTGTGTGAGTGCATGGGAGCCGTGGTGGATGTGGAGGTCAGTGGACAACCTCTGGAGTCGGCCCTCACGTCCCACCTTGGTCCCAACAGTCTCTGATATGGTGCTGTGTAAGCCAGCCTGGGTATCCTCCAGGGACTCTTGTGTCTCCGCCTCCCATTCCCCTCATAGCAGCACTGGGGTCACGGACGTGTCGCGCTGTTGTGTTTGACTTTTACTTGGTTTCTAGGGTTCTGAGCTCTGGGCCTCACAGCTGGGCAGCAAGCCTTTTACCTCCTGAGCCGTCTCCACAGTCCTGTCCTTTTTTGTGCAGTTAATTCTCCTCTATCCTCTCCATAGAGAACGAAGCAGGGTGGGTGGGGACTGGTGAGAAATGACCTTGTTAATGGGAGTGGGGTCTGCAGAAAAGTCCCGAGGATGCTCCTCTCAACTGTACAAGGCAGTGACAGAGTGAAGCTACCATTGTCCCAAGTCCTCCCAACGTTGAATGCACAGATTGTGACTCCCGCTCCCTCCCCCAGCCCCGTCTGGCTCAGTGACATCTCCATGGTCTTCCTTGCTCCATCTCTGCCATCATAATTAACCCTGCTGGGTAACAGTGTTTGTTTATTTCCCTCCCCTCCCCTGCAGTGTTTGAGAACAAAGATAAGATTGTGATCATCATGGAATATGCCAGCAAAGGAGAGCTGTATGATTACATCAGCGAGCGGAGACGCCTCAGCGAGAGGGAGACCAGACACTTCTTCAGGCAGATCGTGTCTGCTGTGCATTATTGCCACAAGGTATGTGGGGCTTGCCACTTCAGCTGTAACTGGCCTTTTGACACCTCGTGACACCTTTAATATCACAAAGGCCTTGTTAGTTCATTGTGATGAATGTGGAGAATTTACAGAGTAGGGAAAGAAAAAATCTCCCTATTCAAATCCCCTCTCTCTCTCTCTCTCTCTCTCTCTCTCTCTCTCTCTCTCTCTTTCTCTGTGTGTGTGTGTGTGTGTGTGTAGGTGTGTTCATTTGTGCATGTGTGCATAGAGGTCAGAGGTCAATGTCAAGGGTCCTCTTCAGTCACTTCCCACCTTAGTTTTAGAGACGGGGTCTCTCACTGAGCCTGGAGCTTGACAGTTCCACTAGACTGGCTTGCTAGTGAGCCCTGAGGATCTGCCTGTCTCTTTCAGTGCTAGTTTCAGAGACGTGCACCCCACAGCCTTTGGTTGACCTCTGTGGACATGAGAGGCACGCGTGATCAGACTTATCTGCAAGTAACACTGGAAAGCCCCACAGACTGTACTTCCGTTATCTGAAGTGTGTGAATGTGTGGCTCGTTATGAATGGGACTTTCTTAGACTCGTTCCATCTTCTTCTGTCAGCCAGGAATGTGACCTCGGGAACCAGATCCTCTTGGTATTTAATTGACGTGAACTAGCTTCCCTTTTCTCCAGGAGACTTTTTTTTTTTTTTTTTGCATTTGTGAATTCAGGACAACTCCTTAGAGCTTGGATTAGCAAAAGCAGTAGTAGGAATACATGCCATCTCTCTCCAGTCAGGGATTTTGAGATATTAGAGGCTGCCACACAGGAAGAAAAACAAATTGCCAAGAACCAACTATAGCCATGCCCATCAGTTTGCTCACCACAGAAGCTTCCTCTGAGGAAGCCATTTCTGCACAGTGGTGTTAGAAACCCACTCTCCATCACATCCACACAGCCCCCAAGCATTTTTCAGTCCCCTGCTCCGCCCCCGCTCCCCCCAGACTTGTGGAGGCCAGGCATTACTGCTGGGCAGAGCCATGCCCCCAGCCCTTTGGTGTCCTCTTCTCCTTAAGCTGGCTGGCTGCTCTGAAGTTCAGCTTCCAGACTGGTCAGAGCTTGCCTGAATGAAAAGGGCACGCAGTATGACAGTCCCCAGTGGCTCTGGTCTCATTGGCCTGCAATCACATCTCCCTTTTCATCAGCCTGCAGAGTGGAGAGAGACTTTCAAGTCTTTCCAGCTGGCTGCTTAGGAAGTATCCCAGACAAAGCTTAGGAGACTGGGTCAGGCCTCTTTCCAGCATGAGGGATGCAGGCAAGCAGGCAGGCAGGCAGGCAGACAGACATGCAGGCAGGCTGTCACTGGAGCCCTATGCTCCGAGTCCCCAGCTGAGATGTCTGCTGCTTCCCTGGAACCCATCTCAGACAGGGTCTGCATTGCCTGGGATTATATTGCTCTCACACAGCGGAATTACATTCCCACAAAGAATCCCCCTGCTGGTTTACAGGCTCTGGGGGAGAATGGATTCCAGTCATTTTTCCTTTAACCACACAGCAAGTGACTAATGCTCTCCTGTCGCTGGATGCTGTCTGGGGAGCGTCCTGACAGCAGGAGCGGGTCTGAAGGATAGAGGTGAAGACCACCGGGGCCGGTGCGTCTCTTTCATCTGTCAGACGGGCCCCTCTGTCGCCCCCCCTCCCCAGCTCTCTTGGTGTCTGTCATCTCACCAGCTCCTGTTCAGTTCTTCCGTTTCCTCTTTCAGAATGGTGTGGTCCACCGGGACTTGAAGCTGGAGAATATACTGCTTGATGACAACTGCAATATTAAGGTAAAGCTCAGACAGGGCCTGGGTATTATGGGTGGGTGTGGCCGGTGGGTGTGGCTTCCCAGAGGCCTGCATCTGGGGCAGCCACTCCCTCTGCTGGCAGGCAGGCTCTGGGAAAGACTCCCAGCAATCAGCTCATTGAGATGGTTTAATTCAGCCAGCAGGCTTTAAGGAAACCCCTACAACCTCCCAGACTCTCTTCTCCCTGGTAGCACAGTGACTGAGACACAGTCCCTGCCCGCAGGAAGCTCACAATCTGGAATTCTTGTCACAGAAGTGACATACATGCTTCATATGTACTTCAGTTCCCATTTGCTTAATGCTCTCCTAAGTACTTCTTTTGGACAACATATGATGGGCAGTATTTATTTTATAACTCACGTATACATAGGGAAACTGAGGCACCGACAAATCAGTTAATGCCTCCAGGATAACAGTGGTTGGTGTATAAAGGTTGTAGTCTGAGCCCACTGGTCCAAATTTACATCACTATGCAGATATGATAAAAGGGCCCCAAGTTATCTTAAACCTACAATTCTCCCCCACTCACCCACCCCCTTTTTTGGCTTTTGAGGTAGGGTCTCATGTATCCCGGGCTGGTTTCAAACTTGCTATGTAGCTCAGGATGACCTTGAACTGATTCTTCCTCTACCTCCCAAGTTCTGAGGGTTAGGGTTAGAGTTAGGGTACAGGAAACACCTGACTTAGCTGCCTTTCCCTGGCCACTTCTCTGTGACTTCCTTCCTCCTCATTCTTTCACATTTGAACCAGCTATGGAATTGAGAGCTGGGTAAAATGATGGTAGCATTTAATCAGAAAGAGTGAGTTGGGGCCTGGAGAGATGGCCCAGCAATTAAGAACACTTCCTGATCTTCCTGAGAACCTGAGTTTAGTTCATAGCTCCCATATTGGGCTCCTCCCAAACACCTGTAATCCCAGCTCCAGAGGATTGTACGCCCTCTTCTGGCTTCTGTGGACACCTGCTCTCATGTGTGCATAGGCCTGCATGCCAGACATACACATAATTAGGAATAAAAGTCAATCTTTAAAAAAGAAAGAGCGAGTGATGGAGTTCAACTTTTGTCTTTCTGGCTGCTGCTGGAGCTGGAGAAAGCTCTACAGGGCTCAAGGGCCTCCTGGGGAGCACTCTGGATGTCCTTTAGACCACGGCTGCAAAATAAGCAAACACCATTTCAAAATAAACGGAGCTCGCTGTATGGGTTTCATTATGAAATGGACTCAGTACTCCCAGCCCTGCAGGAGCCCTCCCATTGGACACTTGTGACGTGAATGGCTTGTCCCTGGTCTCCAGACAAGGCGCACAGACAGTCTCATACTTTCCTCTTTTGCTGTTGCTGCCGCTGTCTGTCAATGGCCGTGTGATGGGACCATGTCCTTGCTTGGAAGGATGGAGCTGTTTTAGGGTTTGGACTCTGTTTGTAGGACATGACAGTCAACCATTAGTTACCATTGTCCTTTGACAGTCCTTGAAAGATACATCCCCATGACCTCCTACTCAACAGAATAGTTGGCCTCACTCACATGTTTCTGTGAGGTCCATAGAGTCTGGTGAATATTGGTTGAAGCAATTCTCCCTAGGAACAGGAAGTGAAATCTCAAGATCTCTGTCTTTCTTTCCGGCAAGTGGCTGGATTATTCTAGAATGAACACTGACTGTTAGGTTAAATAATTATGGGTTGGGGATATATTTCGGTGGCGGAGCACTTGCTGATCATGTATGAAGCCCTGGTTTTAGCCCTCAATATTGAAGGGGGTGGACAATTTAAGGGCTGTGGGGTTTCCTAACTCCTTGACGTTAGAAAACCACAGAACCCAATTTCTTCAGTTACAAAATTGATAATAGTAACAGCCACAGACTTGCTCTGGGGCCTTTCCAAGGTATTCTCTATGTTCAGATTTCAACTGTTAAAATCACTGTGTACAAATGAGTCCGGGCCAGGGGGAGTGGCTCTGGAGTTGGGAAGCCTAGATTTGTGCGGCAGCTCCATCCCTTATTGATTGATGGCAGGCTTTCAGATACATTCCTCACATTGAACTTAGTTTCCCCAGTGAGGTAGGGAGGCCAGCTCTGTGTCTAGGGTTAATTTGTTCATTGTCTCCAGTGAGTTTTTCTGGGAGTTTCTGTGGGCCACTTGTAGGCACTGGTAACAAATGTGAAAATGGTAGCTAAAAATGTAGTTGAAGGAGCCAGCACTTAACTATGTCCGTCCTAGAGCATCCTAAGTGGCTGGCCCTGGAGGAGGGCTTGCAAGGGAAGCCAGCTGCTGGGAAAGTGGCTTCGGGGGGTGATGGCCAGGCCCTGCTGTAAGATTGGAGCCTTGCCTTCTGAGGGGTTTGTACCAGCCATTGATCTCAGTGACTTTCTGTCCAGATTCTTCCTGCCACCTGTCAGAGCCCTCAGAACTAAATGTAGTCTTTACAAGGTCTGGAATGTGAGCCTCCCGCCTGGGGACTGGCTTCTGTGGCACAGTGTGACCTCTTGGTCCCATGGTGTAGTCCCAGAAGTGATAAGACGCATAGCTTCCTGTGGAGTCATATGATTCCCTAATAGAGGAGAAGAATGGCTAGAATTCAGAAAGTAATTGTATAGGGGGCAGCGGGGCAGCAGCCTGGAAGAAAAGCTCATTTGAAAATGCAAGGGAACAGTGACTTTGGGGTGGGCTGCTCCCAGGACCAGGTTTTCAGCCTGGGACCCTATGTTTTTGTAGCCAAGTAGCAGACACGGTACTTTACAACATTCAAGTTTGGTCCTGTATTCACTTTGTGTTTTTCTTAGGGATCTCTGCTTCTGCTCCTCAAATTTTCCAGGGTAGGAACACACACACACACACACACACACACACACACACACACACACACACACACACCACAAATAAAATCTTTCCTTTTAAAAGGCCATTATTTACTGTTTTCTCCATTGTTTCAAAGAATTCAACAAAGACCTCTTTTTCCACTTGAAAAAAACTTGTTGAGGGTCATTTACCAACCCAGAACGTCTAAGGGATATGCTTGAGATCACACCATTAATCAGTAGTTTGTTGTGTCTTTGTTTTCCCAGAGTGCCCCATGGTGCCTGGCATCCATAGGCATTTAGAACTGTTTGATTTGGGGGCAAAGGGGTGCTGAGTTAGGATTAGAACTCACATGTTTGACTGCCAGGCAAGCTCGTCTCATCTTCTCACACCCACTTCCAAGGTTTTTTAGAAATGTGTTTCAGCTGGTGTTGATCTGTCTTCCGGCTGTATGGGCCCCACTCTTCCTGACTCAGCATTTTGCAGAAGTGTATTTAGAAAGGACACTTGCTGACAGAAGCAGTCAGACACATGGCCACAAGCTGGCCTCTGTGTGAATGAGAGGACATCGCTGCCTGGGCCTAGGGGGACCATGGGTACAAATGTGCTACCAACCAACCGGATGTTAGCAGCAAGGTCTTCCTAAGAGCGTGTGTGTGTGTGTGTGTGTGTGTGTGTGTGTGTGTGTGTGTGTGTGTGTGTGTGTCACATTGGGGGTCCACCAGCCAGCCGGATGTGAGTGGCAAGGTCTTTTTAAGAGTGTGTGTTTGTGTGTGTGGTGGGGTGGGGTGGGGGTTGTCACATTGGGGGTCCGAATCTCCTGTGTTTAAGGAAGTAGGATGGCAGCCAGGAAGCCCCTAAAGATGCTTCTGGCTTAAGCTTGTTGGATGTTGCTACAGTTTGGGTGTGATTGGTGTGAGCTGTGTGGCCCGTTCCTCTCCCTTCTCCGCCTGAGGACAATTTGCAAAGAGCACATCTGGTTTTGGAAATTATTTATCTGGCCACGGCAAGAGGGTGCGGTTTCTAAAAATATTCCTGCAGTCCAACGGCAGAAGGAATGATTGCGATGCAGTGCTTCAGATTGCATTCCGTCCGCTGTGGAAGCACGGACTAAAATAGCACCCAGCCTAGCATTAATTTGCAATTAATAAAAACAGGCCAGATTCACATCCCACTCTCTGGGAGAATGGAATGCTGACAATTCCCATAGAAGGCTCCTGTAAAAGTGCCTCCCCGGAAGAGGGCCAGGCACCCGGGTCAGCTGACCTCCTCCAAGAGGGCTGGGAATGTGCTGAGCTCTCAGAGCTCAGGGTAGAGGAGCGGAGGGAGATGATCCGCTGCCCCTGTGACAATGACAGCATGGCCGCTGTGGATGAGAAAAGAAGCTCTGAATGGCAGGGACGAGATGAGATAGGAATCTTGGCAGCTTAGCACGATGAGGCTCGAGATCATGGGCCTCTCGCGCTGGTTAGAAGAGTGTGAGAACCTTGTATTCTTGCATTAACCAGTTCATTTACTAATTGTGTGTGCACGTGTGTACATGTGTGTCGTGTTTATATCGCAGTATGCCTCTGTTGCCTGCAGTCATTCACCTGTTCTTTCAGGAGCTGAATATCTACTGTAGGCAATATCTTTGATCATAAAATACTTACCAAGCATCAAATACTATATCTTTAATCCTGTGCTGGGTGTTGGGGAATTTAATGCTCAGTCAGATGGCCAGGTCCCTTTTGTCCCGGAGCTCAGAGTCTGGCAATCATAACTACTGGTGATAATGAGCCACCAGATGTTGAGAAGGCAAAGAAGATAAGGTTCTTTCCCCGAGTGGACTTGGGATTCCAGCTGGGACTGAGAGCAATAAACAAAGGAATGCATGATGCAGTTGTCCAGTGAAGGAAGTCAGGTCAGGTGGGGATGGAGCCTGGTGGTGCGGTCCAGTGAGCATGGTACAGGAAGTCTCCTTTGCATTGCACTTGGACTCCTCAAATCTACGGAGCTTTCTCCAGCTTCCTGGCCTTGGAGCATATTGTCCCCTCTGTCTGGAATGCCCTTTCCACTCCTCTTTGTCTGTCTGTCCTTCAGGAGTCTTCCTCCAGAAAGTTCTTATCCCTTGGCAGGCCAGATGCTCCCATGCCGTCTGGGCATGCTAAGCAGGAGGAAGTGAATCTGTTTAGCCAGATGGAGCAGAAG